AAAGCCTATTTTTAATACTGGAGAGTAGTAACCTGTAGTGAGATAACTTCAACAGGGTGGTTTTTATAAAGGTTAATCTTTCTCTATTCTTGGGGGACTCCTTTATATATTCGACATACAAGCCAAAAGCGTCTATATACAAGATAACTGGCAGAAGATAGTGCCTTTATATACAAAATTTTGGTGGATAGATGGAGGTGATAGAAGTCCAAGCCTTCTGTCGACAAAGCTATCGGTTGCAAAACAACTGGAAATAGTAAAGAACAGGCTTCCTTTAAACTACACTCCTTTTTTCTAACCAAGTGGTTTCTACTATTCTTTTTTTGTTTCTCTGCCTTTTTTTCAAAATTTTTCAACAAAAAGTGGGGATTTGGCTTACTCTCTACAAAAGATCGGCATTGTTTATCTCCTAAATTCAGACAGTCTAGTAGAATGCAACTATATATTTGTTTATAGACAGATATGGCGCTACTTCATAGGACTCAGCCTGGAAACTCTAATTACAGTAGCAGATAGCTTGAGATATAGGTCCTTAGATGGCGGCAGCACCTGGCTCGAGATACGAATTGGAACGGGCAACAGAGCTATTCGAAGTTAGTGGGAGGGTCAAAAAGTAAACTTTAATATTAAGGCAAAGCTTTACAATAGAAATATACAAATATTGTATTTGTTATATAATTTTTACCAACCATGCATGGGTTATAATAGTGTCTTTAGGGTCTTAAATTTCTTTTTATGTTTTTTCTTTTTGGAATCTGTGTTTCTTTTTTCTTTTGTTTGTTTGTTTTTTTTTTTTGGTCATTTTTATAGTTTCTTATTTTAAACTTTTTTTCCTTTTGTCTCATACTCTTTAAGAAGAAGAAAGAATTGAAAGAGAAAAGAGGTTCTGAGGTGGGAACTGAGTCCAGGCTATACTATATCTTTAAGTATGCCACACTGTACATAGAGTATAGTGGCCAATATCAGTGTGATAACCAAGGTTGGGCATCTTTAGAAAACAGCTAGCCTTTGTCTAATTATCTTGTTGAATTGCTTAAGCATGTATTTGTGATAAAGTGTAAAAATTTAATAAATCTTTTAGTATGCAGCTTTCAAAGGAAAAAAAAAAAAATTTATTATTAATACAACATGACTTCTAGCCTATATAATTAATGTACATACTATTAATCTACTATTTAACCTAACCAAAAGTTATTAATATTATACTCTAACTATATAATATTTAGAATATATAAAATAAATCATTAGTATAAGCTTTTTATTATAATAATAATATATTAAATGGTATAATAAAGTTTTTTGAGTTTAAATTTTAATATCTAATACTTCAATTTTCTTTTTTTTTTTGTTAGCTATTTTTAGCAATAATAAATAATAAAAATATTTACTTCTAAATGAAGTTCATTTGAACAAAATAAAATCGAGCCAAACTAAATAAACAGAATAATATTAATTTTAAATAAACCAATAAAGCATAATTTTTATATATAAGTTAAAATAAATACTTTTAATCGTCTTTGAAATTAACTTCATGTTAATAATTTTGCTAGTATAAATTTTATCAGAATATGGCAATTATTTAATAACATTATTAGTATTTAATCCAGATACAATCTTTAATCATGATCCTTTGCAAATTTCTACTACAAATTTTAAATTAAATTCATGTTTATCAAAGAGTCTTTGACCAGTTGACATTTTTACCATAATCATACCAAACCTATAAATATCAGCTTTTTGTATAAATGGCTTATCACCTGATAAAACTTCAGAAGCAACATAGAGTATAACTATAAATTTCGCTAGCTGAAACTACTTTTCTAGACAATTCCAGATCCGTGATATAGGATTATGTATTTTTATTAGTACACTAATCTTGCAAAATGTTATCACCATGAAAATCTGCATAAATGTATCTTGAATTATTATAATATAACTTATATGTAGCATCTTTAAGTATTTGTAATTTAGCCTGCTGTAAAACTAATAAAATTTTTCTTAATAGGTATCCTAGAGATCCTATTCATTAACTATTTATCTATTTATTTATTGGATATCTAATTTTTATAGATAAACAGTTAAAATAGATTAATAGATAGATATCTGGTTATTTAATAAATTATCTGAATTGTCTATACAAGAAATGCAATATTATGTAAAGCATTATTTAAAAACCCTTGTATATTTTTATGCACCTCTTGTATAATCCTATATAATTATGCATAAAATATGCACAATTATGCAAGAAGTACATAAAAATATGCAAGGGGGTTTCTAAATATATTTATCTGTTTAGATATCTGTTTTGATATCTGTTGGATATCTGTTACAGATATATTAGATAATCTGAATAAATTTTTTAAATATCTGATATAATCAGATAGATATCTGGATCTAATAATGCTGATAAATAGATGGCAGATTTATCTGGATAGGGTTTCTAATGTTCCACACATGTATTTAACTGCATGTTTGGTAACTTCTTCCTAACTAGTACATGTTGTGTTGCTGCCAATGGGTTTGTATCTCAAGCCAACTTTTGGGGTGCTGCCGTAACCCGATCTGTATCTCAAATGCCAACCTTCCTAATTAGTCTTTCATTACGTACTCCTGCCCTTGCAAGGTTCACAACAACCCCAGTACCCCAATTCAACTGTTTTCTTATCCGGATTCTTAATCGGTCCCTCCCTACTTCCAGCCGGCAACCCGGATGGGTTGGTCTGCCCAGGCTTTAAGTGCCTAAAAGATGCTCTCCCCTTGGTCCATACTTTTGGAGCGTATGCTCTTTTCTTCCGGTGTGTTTGCCTGGTGGTTTGGCTAGTGTGTTCCCCCACTAAAAGACCTAATCGCTTGGTTCTCTGATCTCGGCCCCGGTTCGAATTCAGCCGTCATGTAGTACCGTCAAAGATCACTGCTACTTCCAACTCGGGACTTTCTAAATGAGCTTCCTGTACAGTGATAAACAGTTCCCCAGATTTACACAGTCATAGACTTATCGAGTGTTTGCACCACCTGAAACCGGTTTGTATTCCTTTGTAGTTCCCAGGGTTCTCTCTCAGTTGTACAAATGCTAGCGGACCTCCCAGGATCACTCTCTTGTGCAACTCGAGTTACAGATCCTCAATTCAAGATCCAACCATCTTATACAGGTTACCGTACTACAGGCCTATTTTTCAAAATCATCGTCTATGGGATTCAAACTCTAGACCTGCTACTTGGAGAGGGTGACAACTAGACTACTTCACTAAGCCACCACACCTCTTCTGAATTTATTTATTTATTAGTATTTTATAATTTTAATATATATTTATTACTTTTAGAATCGTGCATGTATTACAGTCATGCTGGCTGCGAATACAACTAGAACCGAAAAGTTAAAACCAATAGTAATCGGATCATCTATTGAACCTAATACTTTGGTCCACTTAAATTATAATGTCTTGCCTGTAACATATTATGCAAATTTAAAGGCTTGGATGAGAACTGATATCTTCAGTGAATGGATCTCAAAACTTGATAAGAAGTTTCGTCTAGCAAACCAGCAAATTTTATTGATGTTAATGGTGCAACAAGTCATTATGATTCTAATGATAATAATAATCAAAATACGTTAGATGAAGAATTAAGCGATGAAGAATCAGAAAGTGAAGAATCAGAATCAGAAGGTGAAGAATCAGAAAGAAAAGAATCTGAGGATAAATCGGAAGATGAAGAAAAAGTTTATACAAGCTCATCTAAAACTATATATAGACAGCATGGTCGTCCAAGATTAAATACTAGTAGTGTTAATAATCAAAAAAAGTGAAATTTTTTTTGTGGGCATGGTCATGGTCGTGGACAAGGTCATGATCATGGGTGAGGTCGTGGTCATGGTCATAGTCGCAGATGTGGGCAAAATAGCAAGGGCGCCATGGTACTGGTCATTCTTACAGAATTTCTGATCCTTCCAATATTCGTTTAACAAATATTCGAATTGAAATTTTACTTCCCAAAACTACATTCCACCTTCAACCAATGGATGCTGTGATAATCAATAGCTTTAAAGCAAAGTATAAAAAGAAGTATATACAGCATGTCTTAAATCAGTTTGAAAGAGGCGAAGATTTTAGAAAGTAAGGAAAAATATTATCTGTTTGACATTGTTGTTGCTTATTTCCCTAAAAGGCTATTTACCTGGTATCAATATAAGGTAGCATTTGAAGGTAAATATTATTTGTGATGTCAGATAAATAGTCTGTCAGGAAATGATTAACAGAAAAATTAAATGCTACAAGTTTACATATGCATGACGTATCACATGTATATTATAAATGGTATATATGCGCATAGTTTAGAAATTATCTACATTTATGTATTTATTATGCCTTTGTACTTTAACTTATTTTATATTGCCTTTCTTATAAAATTCATAGAACCCTATATACAATAAATATTCAATTTACATAAATGGAGCTGAGTCAATTACATTTTTAATTATATTGTGAAAGAAAAATTTAAAGTATATACGGTGCAAGAAATCTAAAAACCACAATTATTCTTATAAAGACAAAATATCCTATAAGCTTTGTTGAAGTTGATAATTTAAAAATTTTGAATCAAGCTTACATTTAGATTATGCCAAGCGGAAATTTAAAAACCACAATTTTCATAGAGTTAATTTAAATTATCAACTTCAATAAAGTAATTTCTCACTCATCCTATTTAGATTGACAATTTAATGTATTTAGGTTTTTAAATTTCCTGCACTGTATGCATTCTCATTTATAATAAGTGGTCTAGTTACATATTTAAAAAAATTGTAGTTCATGCTTGAGTCTAATTCTACGTTAGCATTGTGAAATTAAGCTTTTTTTTTTATAGTTAGCTCACGACATTGATTTCTAATTTTTAATCTTTGTAAAATTAAAATTTTACTGATACAACTTTATTTGCACAGGAATAAATTAAATATCAAAGATGCAATATATTATGTTGCAGAATCATAAGATGAAGTTGAAGAAATGACTATTGTGAATTGTTAGAAAAAGACAAGAATTTTCCCACTATTATCAGATACAGAGATTGATGACACTACTTTTGCCATTCAAGACTTGACAGAGGTAGAAAAGGATGATGTTGATGAGTTAATTATAGACTTAACAACGAACCTGCCAGATGATCTAACAATTGGATGTCAGTTAAATGAATTTAACGACAAAAATAATTCTCAAATATCTACTGAAGATATTCTTGACAAAGAGCAAATCATTAACATTGTGTTAGATGAACAACAGAAGTTTGAAGAGGGTGATGCAAGTGATAGTGATGTTCCACTGCCTGAAATTCCTGCCTTAGAAGGCTTGGATGGTCTAAAAAGATTCATTGGCTTTTTTGAGCAACAAGAAAGCCGTGATTTCAATACAGAAGATCTGAAAGTCTTTAGAAGATACTTATCGTTAATGAAAAGGAAACACATTGAATTGCTGAAACAAAAACTCATCACTGATTTTTTTTACCTGTTTGTGATTGGTAGCTGGTATTTTTTTTTTTTTTTTTTATCTATTTATAATTAACAGGTTTTTTTTTTTTTTTCTTTTGAAAATTTAAGTGTTTAGTTGGCTGTTGTTTATCAATAGTAAGAATCGAATTATTGGGTTTTTTGAACTTTCTTGATTTTAATTCTTAGGATTGTGTTTTTTAGCGTTTATTTTTACCTCAAGATTTTAGAATTCTGGTAATTACGTGTCTTTCTATATCTGTAACTATATAGTGTAAAATTATTATGAAGCAAATCAGCATTCTGAAATTTTAAATATCTTGTTAGTATTTATTTGATTTAGTAGATTAATAGTAAAGTTATTAATTCAGTAAATGTTCAATATTATATGGGTTTTATAGTAATATGTGGTTGAAGCAACTTTTTTAGAGTGGATTTTAGTAAATGTCTTTTATATAACATTCAAATAAATCTTAAAATTATTTATACAAAATAAATATTTAAGTTTATTATTTTAATTGGCAAAGACCATACGCTAACAACTATATACTAACTAAAATTTGGATCTTTATACTAACCTTATCTTGGTTTAAAACTACTTATGCTATAAACTTCTAGTTATAGTTTAACTTTACAAATTATATTTTTTTAAAATACTATTGTCATGGTGACATACAGTATGTGGTAAACTTGTATGAGAATAAAGGTAAAGCGAATGATTAATTGTTATCTTATGCATGTGATACACGTGACAAGAGATCGATTAGGAATTAAGAGATAGAGTAACAATCAATTATGTAATCGAAGTAAGGTAATCAGTATGCATAAAATATAAGGTAATTTATTAGTAATATAAGAGTCAAATGATCGTGTAATCATATATGAACAAATTATGATGTAAGTAGTGTAATAGTTAGGGGAAGTTGAAGTTAGTATTAGTTTCCCTCTTAACTAATAAAGCGCATTTGAATAATAGATAAAATACTTGCCTTAGTATAAACTAATAAGCCAAGCGATCAAGTGCTCGCCATTTGGACTAGGTTATTTAGTAGTATAAGTCATTAATTAATCTGCAACACCATTTCGTCAAAGTTATATTACTGATAATCCACTTTTACTAATAAGACAATTTGATATCTTATTTTCCCGAATTGTATATTATTTAATTATTTAATCATATCAAAATTACTATTTTTTCCAAATATTAAAAAGCAATAGCTATATAAAGCATTTGAATACCATGAAAAGCTGCTAATGTGTGTGATAAAGCAGCAATATATAACATGCTCGATGTTATCATAACAGTATTGGTACAACCAGAAGGCAAATTATTGGTTCACAAAATATAGAAGCTTTTTGAAAACTAATAAATCACCTTATTATATTAATCCTGAACTTAAGAAAATATTTATATCTTGTCAGAAAATAGCAATATAAGGTCAAAGAAATGGTATTTTGGGAAAGTGTGCACTAGAAATTGAATAGAATAAATAGTTCGATCCTATTTTTGACAGGCAATCTGGATTTATCTGATCCAAATTGAATCCACATTAAACTATACACAAAGCTAGCTTTTGAGCACGTCCTTAGGTCTGTTATTTAAGTTCATGACTAATCCAAGTAAAAATCTGATCTGATATCTGAATTTAAGAGAAAAAATTCACTGGTTGAATGGTATGATTCAAATGCTACTCAAACTGCCATTCAAACTGCTACTCAACACTATCACATGATTTTATGGACATGCATGTTCATGAAGTGATAGTGTTAAATAGTAGTTTGAATAGTAGTTTGAGTTGTATTCAAATCGTGCAACACAAAGAATGTTTTTAATTTTACAGTGTTGACAGATTTAAGAATAAAACATTGCAGAAAATCTATTAAATCAGAATCTTATTAGTAAAATTAAATTGTATTGAAAGAATTTTTTACAAATTGGCTTTCATTATATTAAGATTTTAAATATTTTTTAGAGTTTACAATAATAAAAATTTCAAACTTTTTAATTACTTTTTTAAAATCACATTATGTAAATTATTTTATATTATGTGATTATATAGAAGTATTTCTATTTAATCACCTCTCTATATAATTACCAAAAAAATGCTAGATAAACTGGGTGATTATATAGGAGCACAACTGTATATAACGATAATATTAAATAATTTCATCAAATTATATGCATTTATAATTATAGGGAAAGTGTATGTGAAGTGCACTTATAGAGAGTGCACGTATGGAGTGCCGACTGTATATCATTTATTACTATAATGCTAATGTCAGACATATAAGCTATTTTTTGAAGGAACTGATTTTCAAAATACTGTCCACGAGCGCTTATGCGGTAATTTGTTGAATGAAATTTATTCAATTGTATTTCCAGAGTTCTAAGCTAAAATTCTCTGATGCAATCACTAATATTCACATTTTTACTTGTTGGGATCACATGCCAAACATTATTACAATATATACTTTTGCTGTATTTAGATTACTTTAATCATTATCAAATAATATTTATATCATTAAAAATTTATTGTAATACTTACTAATCGAATAGAAAGGTAATCTGAAGAGTATTAGTTAAACATAAATCACTTTTTTAGTCTACTGATTAATAGATCATCTTTATATTTGCCTACTAAATTAAGGTGAAAGATGGCATATGGTATTAATACAGTATACAACACTTATACGGCATGGGGCACTTCTATTTATACGGCAAATACGTGATATTTTTGCTGGGTGACTACCTAAATGTCCGAAAATTTCATTATACTAAATACAAATATAAATACATGATATTACCAATCAAATAATTGGAATTTATTAAGTTCAAAAATCTTTGTTCCACTGGAACTGGAATTTTAGTCCAATTGTGTTTTAGTGGAATGTTCCAATTTAGTACCCAACACTGATTACAGCTCTTCGAAATAAAGTATATAAACAACATGCTCCCAGTGTTCGAAAAACTCAATCAGAGAAGGCTAAAAACATACAAGACAGATAAATGTATTATATATAAAAGGAAGAAAGAGAATATAGAACACCTGGTGAGCTGTGAAACTTCTTGAACTTACTCTGCAAGCTAGAGAAGCAAGTAGTAGAAGCAACTCTGTTTAAATTAAAGATAGAAAACTGAGAGAGAATCAAAGAAGAAGTTTTAATAATGCTAGGAAAGGAATTTCAAAACTGAAAAATTATGTAAAAGAGAAAGATGGATTAGAGGTCTAATCACAAAAGAAGACTTCGACAAGTTGTGACCTCTTTTTAACTCAAATAATCAAGCAGAGAGCTTTCTAGGTAGACTTTGGAAGAATTGGATGAAGAAAGGATATGAAAGAATATAAGTTGCAAAATGCAAACTAGTACAAAAATGAAAGAAAAAAAATGAGATCACACTACAAAATAAAAGAAGATTACATAAAAAGGCAAGAAAGAAAAAAAAAAAAAACTATTAGATAAATGTACTAGGAAAAAGGAAAAAATAAAAATGAAGAAAAAGATAAAAAATGAGATTGAATTTTAAAGATAACTAAAAAAAAAATTCTAAGAAGGATTAAAGAAGGACAATAAACAGATTGGTGGAAAACTAATATATAGTCTTGACAGGCAGTAAGATCTAGCTAGTGACATATTATTAAAGCCAATTGCAAGATAAGATAATACAGAGACAAATCTTACTATAGCAGGCTGCATATAGATACTTAGTGAGCAACCAGATGAGTCTTCACTTGTAATTTAGGTACTATAAAGTATAACTCTATAGAAAATTTTAATAGTTTAGATAATTATTACAAAGCCTAATAAAGTGAAGGCAAGACTGCCGAATTTATTAATAAAAAAAAAAAAAAATTATCATATCTAAATAAATAAAATAAATATATAGATTATTAATTATAATTAATATCTAACTAATTTAATTTTAAAATTGCTTAGCTTCATTTTCAACTCTCCCTGACAATCACTTGTACCAAATTTTCATATCAACTAAAAAACAAAAATTTTGTTGGAGTAGCTGACGCGACTATCAGGCAGTTCTTGCAAAGGTCCAACTAGGTTATATTCTCTCCCTGGGAACTCCTTTGGCATATTTGGCATACAAGCCAAAAGCGTTGATATACAAGATAACTGGCTGGAGATGGTGCCCTTGTATATAAAATTTTGGTGTTGACAGGCTTGGTGTAAAAAGCGGTCTTCGCTGACGAAGCAACCAAGAAGCAATAAAGAAAAGAAGAACAACAAATGAGTTTTTTAAAGACACTTTTTAAAGATTTGAAGTACTTAACCCTAAAAACTACTCTACATATTCCTGCCAAGTTTTTTAGTGTTTCTCTTGAAATTTTTTTCAAAAAGTGGGAATTTTGGCATACCTCCAGTAAACGATCGACATTGTTTACACTACCGAATCAGGAAGTATCATGAGGAAGGCAGGCGCTCTACACCTGACAACTGTTGAAGAACGTGTACAAATAGTAGGTAAACAAAGATTAACCATATAGTTTTGTATCGATAGGTAAATAAGAAAAATTTTGTATTCCCACATAACAAGAACTATTTTAATACCGAAGTAAAGCGAAGGTGGAATTGTTTTGCGAAGTATTAAATAATTTTTAACCAAAGCATTTGTTTCCTCAAGCATCAGTATATCTATTGCTTTCATAGTTTTTGCTTTCTTCTTTTTGTCTTTCTCTTTTTTTTATCCTTTTTTTTTTCTTTCTTTTGTTTTATTTGGTTTTTGCTTAGGTTTTGTAGATTTTCCACTTTTTGTTCTATTCCTTTTTTTTAGTTTTAGTTTTTTTAGTATACTTGTCGTTCTTGAGGCAAGGATTATGGAATCCTTTTGTTTAGATATTAAGAAAAGAAAGGTCTTAAGGAAATTAGTGGTCATGACGGGCGGCCGATTCCAGTTGATGATGTATCTATCTACTTCGGTTTTAGGAGGAATAGATGTGTAGACAAAATTGGCTATAGCAAGTCGAATATAGATGTTTAGTAGATAACTGGGTTAGTTAAAGCTTGTAATTTAGATGCTAAAGCTAGTGTTTTGGTGAAAAGTTTGCATGTAGTAGAGCCAATTGCAATAAATCTAATAAAAGTTTTGGCATAACTGCCAAATTTTTTAAAAAAAAAAAAAAAAAAAAACTAATTTAATTAAAATAAATTACTTCTTTATATGCTTAACTTATTTATTTAAGGGTAGGGAG